CGATCCAAATGTGGATCCAACCACATTCTGAAAAATTCAAATATTACACTTTTCTTCCAAAACACACTGCATTTGTGATGGTTTTTGGAGCCATTGGCCTCAATTATAAAAGAAAGTTAATTCGGTTGCACGGATAAATCAATGCAGACAAATACATACAAATGTTCAAAGAAAATGATTTAATCAATTCTATTCAAAAGAAGTGTGGGGAAAAATCCATTTTATGCAAGACAACGCCCCTCCACACAAATCGAAAAAAAACACTAAAATATTTCAATGACAATAAATTTATATTACTTCAGGGATGACCAGGATACTCCCCAGACCTCAATCCAATTGAAAATGTCTGGTCAATAATTAAAAGACAAATTGAGATTACAGCCGGAATGAATGAAATGGAAATTTTTCAAAACTTTGAAAAATGTGGAACAAAATAGGACGCAAAGAAATAAACACGCTTATTGAATCTTATAAAAGGAGACTTGAAATTTGTAAAATTAATCACTTTCAAACGATCAAACAGTGGTAAAATTAATAAAATGATTATTATTAAGTTTTTATATGATAAATATTTAATATTATATGTTTTTATGTTGTTTCTTATAATATATAATTTATGATGTAAATAATCGTTCGTTATTTATTTATACTTTTACAAAATAATTTGACAATCGAAATCATTTTGGGAAGTTATAATTCAAAAAGTGTCTCAAAAAGGTATTTTGGTAAAATAAATAAATAATAATAATAAATAAAAAAGTACTTTTGAAACATAATTTTATTTTCAAAAAAAAGACCAAATAAAAAGTCCGGTTTTTGATTTGTGGTATAATCACAACCACTTCCCCAACACAAAAAATATAACTTTTTTTTAAAAAAATAAATAATGTTTTTAAATTACAATTTTCTATAATCGTGGTAAAAAAGGTTGTTGATTGAATAAAGGTTCGGTTTATTTTTATATTTCAATGATAGTTACAAATTTTTTCACATCATTGAAATATTATTGAAAACATGCTTTTAAACAAATTAAACTATTTATAATAAAGGAGTGTATTTTTAATACTAATCGTTTTATTCTCTGTCGTTTCATTTTTGAGTGTTAATTGTGTAAAATGTATAACATTTTCAATTTTGAATCAAAAATTATTTTTTGTTATTCAAAAAAACAAGTATAGTTCAATATAGTTAATATAGTTTCTGAAAAAAGAAAGTGCTTATTTTTCACCATGTTAGAAAAATAGAACACAAACAAAGATAATCATAAAAATGATAGTTAACAGTATGATAATTAATTTTCAATTGTATAACACTAAGAGCTGTTTATTGAACAGTATTGATATTACATTAAACACAATCAATAACGTTTATTAAAAAGAAAAACGAAAGTGCTTTTTTCACCCTTTTTCATTTTTTGAGTAAAAGAAAAAATGTAAATGAAATTTTACATTTTTGTTAAATTCATGTACTGCTCTTTATTACAAACAACATTTATATAGGAAGCAAACAATACACAATCATGAGTATCAAAGTTATGGTCACACAAAAGTTTTTTAATTTTTTTACTTTATAACACAAAAACATAAAAACAAAGAGTCAATTGTTACTTAAAGAAACGGGAAATCGCCCAATTAGTATAAAAATTTATTGCGATTAGATGTCAAATTGTTGGGGAATAATAAAGACAACTTTTCGAAACACTTCAAATTATAATTATTAATAAAATTAACCATTAATTATAATAGAAATGATAAATACATCCAGTTTTAAAACTCAATAATCATGTCCAAACCACAGCGGAAACCCGCTTCAAAAAAATTGGATTTGAGCGTGTTGCTCAACAACACAAAATGGAGTTGTGCATGTGATTTATTGGATTTTTGTGAAACGCATGCAACGGAAATTATGGAATGTCTAACACTCCAACAACAAATGAAATTATTGAAAAGTGAAAAACGGCTTGAAAAGGTTTTAATTGAAACGAAAGCCAAAGTGTTGGGTGTTTCACCCTCTACGGCCCGCCTCAACAACTTGTATGACGATGTCGAAGGGAAGTCTGGAAGAAAACGAGAAATTAATCAAATAGAAATGCCATTGTTGTTAAAAACAATTCGAGAAAGACAAAACACCACCAAACCAATCACCATCAAAGAACTTGGAGATGTTGTAGAAGGAGTTGTTGGGAAGAAAGTATCAAAAGAACCATCGCAAACATTTTGAGAAGGGAGGGTTTAATAAAGAAGATTGCAAAACCAATGGAAAAGAAAAGAGCCGAACTGAGTTAAGACGAGTTAAGAAGATATGAAACGAGAGCAGCTGATTTGTTGAACAATGACAAACAATATGCCGGTGAAAGAGTTGTCCACTTGAATGGAGTTAAACCCTCCCTCCTTATCAACATGGACGAAAGTGGTTATTGTCCATTTATGGACTCGAAAAAACGCAACATTTATGTTGACGACAACTATGACTACACCAACTCTTACTCTGTTGATCGTTCTCAAAAACTCATAACACTGATTGCAGGCATATTTGCCAACACCACCACGCTGAAACCAATGATAATACTATCAA